AACGCGGTATTGTGTGTGTAGATAGTGAGTAATTGATCTGCAGTCAGAAGTATTATTGAGCACGTTCGTTGTTATCGCGTTTGTTTAGCGCGATTGTTGAAGTTGAGTGTATCGGTAAAGTTATATTCGGAAAGAATAAACCAGTTTTATTAAGAAAGGACTTGTGTCGCTTAAGTTTCGTCGGAACGAAGTTACGGAGAGTTAACTAACAAACGGAGACGTAACAATACAATAAGAGCGTGCGTCATCGAGGTCACGTGACTGGTGTGGCGCCACCTATTTTCTAGAACTATCCTGTACCTTGGCGAATGCTCTAGCATTTACTAGATATAGGGTAGGCTGGTATATAAAAGAGGGTGACAACGTAACGGGAAGGTAATGTGTGTGTAGGTAATGAGTAATTGAACTGCAGTCAGAGAGAGACGTATTGTTGAAGTAGAGCTCGTGAGACGTGAACTATAGTTTGTTATAGCGCGACTGTTGAAGTTGAGTGTATCGTAAACTTATATTCAGAAAGAATTAACCAGTTTTATTAAGTAAGGACTTGTGTCGCTAAAGTTTCGTCGGAACGAAGTTACGGAAAGTTAACTAACAAACGGAGACGTAACAATACAATAAGAGCGTGCGTCTAGGAAACGCTCGAGCCTTCAGGAACGTTCGAGATACTCATTGCGTGTTACCAGAGTCACGTGACTTCCGCTGTCGTAACAGTACGTTTATCAAGATTTAAATCATCATATTAATTCTTTACTGGCATTTGTTTACTTAATTTTTAAAAACAATATGTATTCTGGAATATTATAATTAGGTATTCCAGTCGTTCTATAGACAAAGTTGTTTATTGGTTTCAATAATCTGTCTTCTCTGTATAATTCGAAGTTGTTAACAAAACATTGACCAAAAAAGGTTGTGTCAACATAAAATTTTCAATGCCATAACCTTTTCCCAGATTTCAGCTTGATTCGTATTTTTTGTCCTTGCACATTAACACGGAAGACTTCCTCATACTAAATGACAGAAAGCACACGAATGTTGACACCCCTGTAATCATGGATCTTTCCAATGAATCTATGGTCTTTTACGAGAATCCGCTAACTACCAAAGACCGACTAATCAATAACTTGGAAAGGGACGAATTGTTCTTTAAATTTATTTATCGATAACATAAATTAACAAAGTATTTAGGTCTGAATCAAAACAGGTTAATATACTTATAACTCACAATATACCTTATTGTGTTTATCGTAAATATGAAATAAACATATCCAAATGAAAAAAGTTAGCACAATTGTAATCTGTTTGGCCTCTCATGTTACGTTGACAAATATCTCAACACCATCAAAAATAACTTAACTTCAAATAAAACAACAGGTGAAGCTTCTAAAGGCTTTTATATTATACTGTACCAATTCTTTGAGACAGGTTAAACCGAAAGAAGAATTGATACGAGAATTTCTGAACATAGGAAAAAGACATTAAATATGGAAATCTTATTATAATGGAACTTGCGATGTACAAGTCCAAAACTCGGATCTCGGAAACTACCGCACTGATCATCACCAATCATAACTGGGTAATAATTTTATAACTAGGCAGTATTTTTTTATAGCTGAGCAATAAATAAAACAACTGAAATTTCTACAAAAATAATATGTTTCAGGTTTAACCAGTGGTGGGATTCAGCCGGTTCGTGCGAACCTGTTCTTAGAATTTAATGACCTCCACGAACCGGTTGTTAACA